CGAGCTAGAAGGAGTAGTTTTTGTTGTTGTTGCTGTTGTTTTAGCAGTGGCACCTGTTTTTAATGTGGAAGTAGTTTTAGGAGTAGGTGATTTAGCCGCGGTATTTGTTTTTGATGTGGAAGTAGTTTTAGAAGTGAGTTTTGAAGTCGTGGTTTTTGGTGAAGTCGTGGTTTTTGATGAAGTCGTAGTTGATATTTTACTTTTATCAGCAAAAGCTCCGGTTGCTGTTTTCTTAGTTGTAGCGGTGGTATTTGCGCGTGCTGAGGTTTTAGGCGCAGGTGCTGTGGATGTTTTAGTTTTCGATACAGTAGAACTACTAGTTGTGGTAGTAGATGATCGACCACTTGGTGATTTAGCTCGAGTAGTAGTAGAACTACCGCTACTATTGGATTTCAGAGAACTTATTGATGAAGTGCTGGCTTTTTTAGCATGAGTTGAACCTGTTTTTCCTGTTGTTGTGGTGTTTATTGAAGACGTCGATAACGAAGATTTATGTCCACTCGTATTTGTGGGTTTTTTTGTTGTCGCAGATGTGGTAGTTGCGGCGGGTTTTTTTAATACTTTTTTGGTTGTAGCACCTGTTTTACTATTAGCAGCTGATTTTGCTGGTGGTGTTGTGGTTGCTTTAACTTCTTCATCGGCTGCTGCAATATGTTGTTCTTCTGTTTTTATTTCTACTTCTTCAGTCTTTACTTCTACTACTGCTTCGGTCTTTACTTCTTCGGTAGCTACTTTTACCTCCTCAGCAAGCGATTTTTGAACGTTCTCTTCAGGTGCCTTAACTTCAGCTTCTTCGGGAGTAACTTCAGCTTCTTCGGGAATAACTTCAACCTGAACGTTACTAATTGTTTCGGCAGTTTGTTCATTCAGAACAGTGGTAGTAGAAGCCTCTTTCCCATTAGTATCAACCTGCTCTACGACAATCTTAGAACCAAATTCTTCCACCGAAACATTTAGCGGCTCCTTTGAGACAGTAGTAGTCGTCGCGGGGATAGTAGCATTGCCAGTTCCGTCAAATTGTCCGGGAGTTATGTGAAGTCTTCCAGGGCTTTTAGGTCGTGGAGGTGGTTGCGACTGGTCGCTTCCCTCCTCGAACTTTTTGATAATGTTATTAACGGGTTCAAGCTTTGTGTGGTCTGGAATTACCATCTGCAGGAAAAAAAAAATAAAACAAATAATATTAACGCTCGGTATATTCCAACAGAGATTCTGCAATGCCACCAATGCTACCGCTTGTACTACAATTTTTTTAATAATAATTCATGCAAATTCTTTTGGTTTTTTTTTCACGCGCGTACATTGTGAACAGGAAACGGGTAAGCTCTTCCTCTAGTGGTATGACTCAAGAAGCCTCTAATACATACGTTAATATATATGCCCGTACGTCGCACACACTCTGATAGTTTTATCAACCGACCGACCGTGTATTAATTAATTAATACAAGTAGTAAACCGAGAAGAGGAAAAGAGAAACTAGAACATTTTATAGCGAAATGATTGATGATTGATGTGAATGGACAATGATGACTGATGAAATGTAATTCTTATTGTTCAAAGCCAATGAAAATGTCGCATGTGTGTCTGGGTTTCCCTACCTCCGGGCCTAATATATATATATATATCTCTCATCATGTGGAGTCCCGAATGATGTTTTTTTGTCGATTTCTTGTCTGCACGCCATCATCCTTGAATTGGAAAGTCGTAAAACCACAACCTTTGTGCCAAACTTTTTCACCCAATTCCCACGATATTTTTTGACCTCCCAATTGTGCTTTTTTTTTTTGAAATTAATCTCCTTATTTATTACTTCGCCCCCTAACATTACCAAAAAAGACCCAAAAACCAATACAATACCACGCACACTCCTAATTCTCTTTACGAAACATTTTTTCGCTGTAAATTACATAATTCTACGCTAATGGTGCTATATGAACTTGTCGCAGCTTGTGTGAACCTAGTTAGGTTTATTATAACGGCCATTTTATACCCATTCACTTCTCAAGCGGCCATAACAAATGCCCAATCGCAGCGAAGACTGCGGAATCAAGATCCTCGTGCGGCTGCGATACAATTCAAGAGAGAATTTGAGGAGAAGTATGGAACCGCCCACCCTGATTTCTTTGAGGGTAGCTATTCACAGGTGCGCACACTGTTAAAATCTATCCGTGAATGAATGAATTAACGAACCAAGAGAAATTGTGGTCTTAATCGAGTTAATTTTTTAATGTGATTGGTTTTCTTTTGATGCCTCTACTAATACATTCAGGCTTTAGAACATGCAAAACGTGAATTGCAATTTTTAATGGTGATTCTTCAAACCGACGAACATGATTACACGATTAGATTCAACAAGTGAGAAACACGCGCCAAATTCAAAATTTTCTTATTTGAAAATTTTTTCATTAGTGGCGTCTAAATTTTTTTATTACCACATGTAGCGAGACTCTAACCTCGCAAGATCTGATACAATTTCTCCGTGAGAATAATATTTTAGTGTGGGCGGGAAATATTCGGGATAAAGAGGCATATTTAGGTATGGGAGGATATTTTTCGGAATAATTCTTTTAATTGTTGGTTTTCGTTAACCATCAAGAACATTTTTGGTAGTTAATAATAAGTTAGAGGCCACCACATATCCATTTGTGTCAATTATTGTTCTCCAGACCAGCAATGGGAATAATGGAAAGATGGTTCCTGTCGATCGAATCGAAGGTAATGTTGGTTTTAATTTTCCTCAGGGATACATGATGTTGTTTCATGATAAAACTCAATACTTTCTCTATCGGAAATCAAATTAAGGGTTGTCAACGCCAACTATTTTAATTGAACGCCTTACTAATCAAATAAATCAACACAATCCTGGGCTTCAGCGTATTCGCCATGAACGTGCAGAACGAGATGCAGCACGACAAATACGCGAACAACAAGACACAGCATATCGCATGTCACTACAGGCCGATCAAGAAAAAGAACGGAAAGCACGTGAAGCAGCAGAAGCAGAGCGAATGAAACGCGAACAGAAAAAAAAGAGGGAAGAAGAACGTAAAAATCTTGCTGCGAAGAAAGAATTGTGGCGACGATGGGCTTTAAGTCAATTACCGGCTGAACCTGCGCATAATCAAAATGTGACTCGGCTTGGGTTTAAATTACCCGATGGACGGAGAGTAATCAGACATTTCGATGGAAATGAAAGCATAGAGGTATTATTAACATTATTATTATCATTTATTATTATTAGTATTATAAACAATATTTTTTTAAATTTTTAGACCGTTTATACTTTTGTGGATACTTATAGTCTTCAAAAAGAATCATCATCATCATCATCTGTTCCTCCCTCACCGCCACAAGATTATATTCATTCATATGATTTTTTGTTAGTCTCTCCTTATCCTCGTACGGTATATTATCCGGATAAAAACAAAACTATAAAAGAAGAGAGTGGACTTTGGCCAAGTGCTCAATTATTAGTTGAAGGAAATGTTGATGAATCAGAGGAAGAATAGTAAAAATAAATTCAGATTATCGTTTTTTCTTCTTAAAGATCGATGCACTAATCGGAACACAAATGACGTAGATGAAAAATAAAGAACATTGTTAATAAACTGTCGATCGTTAAATTGATCAATTGATTGTGTTCATTCGAGTGAATGAACTTACCATTTACACATGTATCTTGCATATTGGAGTAACAATTTATCCGTTTTAAGAAGATAAAACCCTACAACGATTTTCAAAATAAATTGTGATTGTCACGAATGTCGTTTATAACGCAACTGGTGCTCTTTATGGTAAACACGTTTTATAAGAAGCCAATACACGTTTTATAAGAAACCAATTAATGTTTGTTTAATTAAGATTTTCAATCCTTTCTAAGAAACACAATATAAGAACGACCTCTGTGAGAAATGGATTTTGAAATAAGTGTATATATATATACCTTTTTATAAGAACAAATGTCTAGATTTTCCGGCCTGTGTTCTTATGAAGAGTTTTCTTCAAAAAAAATTTGATTTTGCGATTATGAATAAATGGGATTATAGAAAGGTGAAAAGGGTGGTGTGATTATACCGGGAAGAGGAGTTTTACCTAATCGCTCATTCATGTAACAGATTAGTGTTAAACACCTACCTAAACACCTATTTCGTTTAATTTGATTCATTTTAATCTGCTACAATTAATATATTTTAAGATTGCGGGACCACGGTAAAATCTAATAAATAGTTTTTTTAATTAATTTCGCAGATTAAAATGCCAAAATTATGCAAATCATAGCCAAATTAAATCGTGATTTGTGAATAAATTTGTAAATTTACTCTTATATCACATATTTTAATCTAATTTCATTTTAAATTGTCCTTGTCTATTTTAATTTTTAATTGAACTTCATTGTCGAGAGAAGAGGAATATTAATATAATACGGGCTCGGTAATCACACGCTCTTTCTCCTAAAATTGCACTGTTAGCATGGAAATTAAACTACTCTCCTGATACATGCATACTAAATTACGTGTAATTAAAAATTCCCGATTCTGACAATTGGGATTAAATTTTAATTATAACAAAAACACAAAAAGCAAATCAAGATTCTGACATTGAAATGGTTTGTTTCAAAATAAAAATGCTATGTTACATCGAAATAAGCCGTCTTTGCTCTTTGCCTCCTATTTTGGTCATTCCTTAGTTTGATCTTTAGCACATTTAATACTTCTCATTAGATCATGCAATAATAATACAAATAACGCGGCAAATGTACACAATATAGACATCACCTTTTTTTTTATTTTCCCACCACCTTCTTTACCTTTTTGCTCTATTCGCTGGCCGAGTATTAATAAAAAAGAGCCTTTTATTTTTCTTTTGTATAATTTTTTTTTTTGTACTATTATATCATCCCATTTTCCCCCTCTCCCCCAAATTAATTGTATCGAACCTTATTTCCATCAAAAGAATCTATAAATAAGATCCTGTGACAAAAAAAATGAATCATAGACATATCTCGGGAAATTCGACGACATCACCAACGCCAAGTTACAACCCATACCATAACAGTAGAACGAGAAAAGAGAAATTTATGAGTGAATTTTCCGACATGGAAACTTATGTTGATAGTTCCGGATTTAGTGACAATACCTCGTTAATTAACGCATCAGGCACAAATGCTTTATTGCCACGTGAAGTCGCTTTACATCGAGCTCACTCGGCAAGAGTATTGAATGGATTGGCTAGAGGCGATAGTATAAAAAGAGTTCCACAACTTGATAGAGTCGAGACGAGAGGTACCATGATAGACGGTAATAATAACAATGACGATGGGTCAATACAACCAACAAGATATCAAAAATTTCA